ACTTCCTTGGCCTCCTATTTGGATGCTGGGGAGGGTGGGGAGGCCCTGGCACAGGTTGCCCAGAGAAGCTGTGGCTGCCCCTGGATCCCTGGAAGTGTCCAAGGCCAGGTTGGACGGGGCTTGGAGCAACCTGGGCTAGTGGAAGGTGTCCCTGCCCATGGCAGGGAGTGGAACTGGATGATCTTTAAGGTCCCTTCCAACCCAAACCATTCCATGATTCCATGGATTCGTTCTGGCCAAACGATGTCGCCGGATAACGACACCTTCCTTTCACCCTCTGCTGTGCTGGGAGGGGGATATTTGATGCAGTTTGTGGTGTTTTTTTTAGCACTTCCTGAGTGCTGGAAATGATCAGTTCAGGACTTGGGAGTGTCAAATTGCCCAGAATCGATGGGAAATGCGGGTGGTGATGGTGGGAATTACAGAGAGCGTTTGGTGGTGCCTCAGTCCAGCTTAAAAATTGAGGATAACTGGTGTTGCTGGGGATAAGTAGTGATGGTAAATGTGCAAAGCTCCGTGGTTTGGGCACTTAAGGGAGAGAGCACTGGTTGTTCACATGCCCTACAAAGTGTTGGCCTCTTCCCTTGTTAAACAGAGGCATCGATTCCCATCGGACCTCTTTGCTTCAGGGAATTTTGGCTTCTCCATCCCCTCCCAGGCTGTGCTGTTGCTATTAAAGATCAATCACTGAAGCCAAAAAGAAGCCTGTCCACAGCTCAGCTAAAAGTGAGATGCTGCTCCCAGCCCAGCTGTGTAGAAAGTGCCTATTTTCTGTGTGTTAAAAAAGGGGGGGGGGAAGCTGCATTGTGATGCTTAAAAGTGCTTCTGAGCACAATAAAAAGATGTCTTGTGTCCTGAGGGCTCGAGGGGATTTATCCAGGAAAAGGGGGTTTTTTTGTTATTTTAATAAAGCATTTTGCAACAAGGACATGTTTGCCATTTGATACATTTGCTGCATTCAGCAAGGAAACAATAAAAGCAGAGGATTATTCAATAGCAGCCTGACAGCGTTTTGCTGGGGCTGTCATAAAAAAAAATAAAAAATAGCAAATTCATTCCTACAGCACTTAACAAACCGCCGCTGTTTAGTTTTAAAATGATTCCCACAAATCCTGCGGAGCGGGAATCGGGCAGGTGATGACAAACAGCAGCTTGAAAAGTGAAATATCTGCTTTATGGAGACTCGAGCAGGTCGTTTTCCCTCCCTCAGCCTTCGCGTCGAGCTTGTCCCAAGAACTTCTACAACGTGAATATTTCCCCGTTACCTGCATCTTGAACCCGTTACGACCCCGGGAGGTTATTTTTTACCTTTTAGAGACGTTTTCCCCCTTTGCATCTTCACGTGGGGACAATGTGCTGATGGTGTTTTTCTCTTTGTTAAACCAGCAACTCCTGCGTGAGATGCAACAGATGGCGAGTCGCCCCTTCGCCTCCATCAACGTTGCCTTAGAAACAGATGAAGAGCCACCAGATCTCATCGGGGGGAGCATAAAGGTGAGAGCTGGGGCTCTGGGATGGTCCTCTCCACCATTTGTCCCAGGTGTTCATTGCAATAATCCCAAACCCTCCCCGTTTTCCAGAAGCTGGAAGGCCGGGAGGGCCAACAGGTACCGTTTAAATTTGATTTTATCGCTTCGGATTTTCACTGAAAACTTCTGGGCTGGCTCAGATAAAACTCGTGCTGATTTAGCCTGTGAGATGTTGGGTTTGCCTTGTTAGTTTTGTGCCTTCTGATAGAGGAAAAAATCAGCTTTGCACCAGGCAACGTTTGGCTGCAAGTACCTGCAGCTGCTGCGAATAAAATCACCTTTCTTCGGTGATACCTCAAAGCAAACAGGAATATAATCATGTCTGTTGGAATATAATCTGTTCTTTTGGAATATAATCTGTCTGTTGGAATATAATCTGTTTTTTGGGAATCTAATCTGTCTGTTGGAATATAATCTGTTTTTTGGGATATAATCTGGTTGTTGGAATATAATCTGTTTTCTGGGATATAATCTGTCTGTTGGAAA